TGAAAGGTTTTTCATTGATCCTGCCAAGCCAGATACTAGAATCTGGAGTCCTAACCCCCTTGGAGTGTTCAATTGTGTGTCCCTCTTCAAGACTTTAACCTCTAACCACTCTGGGGTCCAATTCCCAGTCCGAGAAGTCTGGTGTCAACCTGTTCCCCCTAAAGTAGGTGCTTTTTGCTAGGAAGTCTACCATGGTGCAATTAACACTTGCAATCTGATGCAGAGGAAGAGGCCTGGTTGGTGCCTTTCACCTAATTGGTGTTGTTTGTGTGAATCAAATGGTGAAACTGCTCTTCATTTATTTGTTTCCTATCCTGTAGCTAGTAGTATTTGGGATTGGTTTTTTTCTCTTTTTGGACGCAGGTGGGACACCCCGGTGAGCTTGGGAAGACTGTTTGAAGCCCCCACACTCAGATGGCCAAAAAGAAGAGGAAGAACTCTGTGGAGATGCACACGGGCAGCAGTACTGTGGATGTTATGGGAGGAAAGAAATCAGAGAATTTTTTAAGGGAAGAAAAGGTGTAAGGAATTGCTGATAGAAGGGATCATGATAAAAGTAATCTCATGGGTGAAAACTATGGATTTATTTTCAGATTTTACTATGGATGACATAATAAGGAACTGGAGGACTGTAGCATCCTCGCCAGCTGCAAAAAAGAATATTCTAAGATGTTGGGATCCTCCTGAATCTGGATTCCTCAAAGTAAACTTTGATGGGAGCAGCTTTGGCAACCCGGGTGTGGCTGGAATTGGTGGGGTCATAAGAGATGACAGGGGAACAATAGTGGGGCTGTACTCAGCCCCGATTGGTAGGGGTGATTCCATTACAGCTGAACTGAAAGCAGTGGTCTTCGGAATACAAAAAGCCATGGAAATAGGAGTGAGGAAGTTGGTGGTAGAAGGCGACTCCAAAGTAGTCATAAGCTGGCTAAAGCAAGATGGGAAGACTCCATGGGTATTCAGAAATGAGATCAAGAAAATTATTCATTTTACAAAGGATATGCAAATATCATATCAGTGGACTCCAAGAGCAGCAAATGGATTGGCGGACCAGCTAGCAAGGGGCTAATTGGGTACATTGTTTTTGGGCTCAGGTGTAAAATGTAAAGCAAGTCCTAGATGGAGTTTGAAGTTATTGGGGTAGCCGAGGCTACTCTTTCTCCGTACTAAATCCATTAATCTTCTTAATAAAATCACTTTTACTGATAAAAAAAAAAAGAATTCCCTTGAGGAACACAAAGCCAAGGTTCTTTTGGGTACACAAATCTGCTATTTTGTGGATCTTTTGTCATGTGAACAGACCCTGAATATCCAAATTACTTTGTTGAAGGAAAAGTTATTGCTCTTGAATGTTTTACTAGAGGAAAATTTAGAGCTGATCTCTCTGAAAAGATGTTCACTGTTCTACTTCAAATTTATACAACCTAAAGTACAAAGATTTCAAATACAAAGTGATAGCTTATGTGACCAAGCATGTACTTTATCTATCAGAGATCAGGCATCGACACCTAGTCACTCTTCTGGGTTTCTGCCAAGATGATTCTCAAATGCTGGTTTTTGAATATTTCCCAATGGCAGCATATGCAGTCATCTCTATGGTAAGTTTCAAGTTGTGGAAAACATTAATATGGTTTGTGTTCATTAAAATACGTTTATACTAGTCATTTGTTACTTCAATGTGATTTCACCTATTGGATTTGGACAAGACTGCTGAGTTGGTTTGGGATTAATATGTACTTCCCAGCTGATGCGAAGGGATTCATTGGAGCTTGGTATTTGAGTGGATTAAGCAGGGCTGGAAAATTAGCTTGGAAAATCCTCCCTTCACCAGTCTTTTGGACAGTGGGGGTGAAAGAAACAGCAGAAGTTTTGTTGAAATAAGAAAAAAAAAAAAAAGAAAAAAGAAACAGCAGAAGCTTTGAAGAGAGACAAAGTACAAAAGAAGTGGTGTTAAAAAGGATCTCAGGAATGGTGCTTTCCAGGCTGACGAATCACCCTTTATTCAAAAATAGACATTCATGTTCTTTTTTGATCATTATTTCCTTTTTGTAAGGAGTTCATAATTTTTTTGGTATGGGGCTGTTTTTTTTTTGGTATACTGGTTTATTTCCACTTGTACAGATTCTCTTTGTACAGGGGTCTGCATAGTTGTATGGTTTTAAGACTATTAATGAAATACTTTACCTTTTTAGTCTCAAAAAAAATACATATATACTAGTAATTTGATGTGTGACAGATACTGCGCAAGGCTCAACAACACAGCTAGAGTTCAAACAAAGACTTTCTATAGCTCTAGAGGCAGCTAAAGGTAGATACTGGTAAATCCAACCAAAAAGTCTCTTGACCTTGTTGGGAAAAAGATGAATCAAACAATGCAGACGTTTATATAAAAATCTAAAATGTGCAGATATATGCCACTTACATGGTCTCGTACCTCCTTTAGCACACAAGAACTTCAAAACATCTAATGTCTTGGTTGATGAGAATTTCATTGCTAAAGTTGCATATGCAGGGGTTTATAAGCTGCTTGAAAGAACCGGAGATCCAGAGCCTTCATCTTGAGTGACTGGGTGGCTATGTTTTCCAATATCCTGAGTATCTTTGCCTTCCCTTCTAAACTTTTGCCTAGGTTTATGTGGCTGTTTTTTCTCAGTATTTTTTGTTCATCTTTTTTAGATAAACCATGGGTTTATTTGCTAGGGTGAGAGAATCAGGAAAATTCTCTGAAATGAGAGATGTGTATAGCTTTGGGGTATTTCCTCTGGAACTCATAACTGGACAAGAGGCATTAAAGATCAATTCCTTGGGAATCCATGAAAGCTTGATCCAGTGGGTAAATAAGCATCTTCATACACATTTTCTTTAAACAAAGCTGTTCATTGTGTTGGTGCTCAGAACCTAAAAATATTGGAAACCAAAAAATCCCAAGAAAAAAGGATTAGTTTTCAATTACCAGGAATTTACACCTTGTATTACCTCTCACAGTCCTTTGCCTCTCAATATCTTTCAAAGTAAACACTTGCTTGCATTGAAGCTGTTGGAATATGCTTTGTTGTTACAATTCAAGGCATTTTGTTGTGGTCAACTTGATTTGTTAAACATGGGGCAATTGTTGCTAGTACTAGAAAGGTGATATTTTTCCATCAGAATTAATTATTCAGTGGCCAAGTGCAAATTAGACTGTTTTTGTGAACCTAAGAAGTTTGCATCTTCATTTGTAGTATATTTACATATAAACTACTTATTTTTAGCTTTCTAACTAATTACATCTCAAACTTTGTGAAGGTAGAATCACGTCTATGTTCAAATAATCTTGTGGATCATTGCCTAGCTACCAGCAGTTTCACTTTAGAGGGAATGAAGGATCTGATAAGTTTGACACTTCAATGCATGAGTTAAGCTGGGAAAGGACGACCAAAGATGGACATGATCATGTTGGAGCTTGACCAAATACTAGAAAAGGAGATGACATTGACAACAGTCATAGGTGAGGGAATTGCTACAGTTACCCCGGGGAGCCAATTATTTACCTCAGGGTGAAATTGAAGACAAATATTTGTTTGTTTCTCATAGACTAAGAGCCAAAGAATGTATCTAATAGATACATTTCCTAGGGAATATTTTTTTGGACTCAATTGTAATGTGAAAGTCTAGGTTTGGGAGTGTGAAATTTTTACCCTCCCTGAGGGTATATTGTAAGCTATGTACATTTCTATTTATAATTAATACACTCTTGAGTTAATTATCAAATTAAAAAGTTGAACTTATTTTTTATCTCAGTAATAAAAAGCTGAATTGTTTCTTACAATTTCAAGGTTTGGTGTTATACTCTAAGCTTTTAAAAGTGCCAATTCAGTCTCCAGTGACAACTTCTAGAGAAACCTAATGGTGCTTACTCCATTAGGACCAATCAGTATTTTAAAATAAGCATTTCATTTCTTTGTTGAAAACTAGTTTATTGAATCTATGTCATTATTCTCAAATTTGCTTTTTTCCCATTGCTCTCTCTTTGAATTATTGAATCATCTCATCCACCTCTTCATTTCTCTTTCTATTTTTTGATGAATGCATTTCTCTTTCTATTATCCCATTGTTTTCCTTTTTTTTCTTTTTCTATTTTTACTCTTGCAATCCTCTTTAACCAGCTATTTATATTTACTCAACCAATGCATATTATATCATCTTTAACCCACCTATCAGTTCTGTCTCCCCTTCTTTCTTGATTTCTAGAAACTCTCCTACGTTCTGTCCATTGACTCCATCCTCTTTTTCTGGGAAAATCTAGGCCAAGTGTCTATGCAAGTAAGCTAAGGGACCTCTTATGCGTTCCCAGTTTGATTCAGATCCTTCTAGCCTCCACCATTGCATACTATTTGGAGGTCCATCGTCACTCGGTTTGACAACATCTTGGGCTAACCAAGGTCTTAACCCTAGACTGTTCATAAAGTACTTTAATTCATGTTGTTGAATTCAATGACAATGCAGTCCAATGTGTAAAGATCCAACTAAAAGCTAAGAATTTGTAAAGAACAAACCCCATTCACTGGAATTAGTTGAATTTGGAATAACTTAAACATTGTTCTGAAATAGACAGAAAAGGCTGAAGCATCAAAAGTAGACTTAAGCAGATCAATTTCTAGATTTAAGCTAAGATGACCAGCACATCAAACAATCACTAAACTATGATGTGTCTGAAGTCCCTTTTTTATATCTTTTGAAGGGCTACATAACGGGGGGTACCCCATCCCCCAACCCAGGAGCAGGTGGGATTCGATCCCAAGTCTCCACTATGACCAACAGGAGACCTTACCAACCAGCTGGTTGGCATCTCAGCGATGTGTCTGAAGTCCTTGAGAATACAGGACATTTCCTCCCCTCTATTTCTCATCACCAGTGGCAATGTTTGGAAATTTTCTAGTATTTTCTATCTACCATTAGCTATTTGCTAAGATAAAACTGTAAAGTTAAGAAAATGAGCATATAAATTTTCAGTAGATAAGTGAATGAATGCTAGAAAACATGACTTTCTATTAGCTAAGCTATCTGAGAGACAACTCCAGTTTCACTTTGTCTCTTCATCAGAGAAAAAACAGAACAATGTACTATTTTTCAGCAGTAAAACAAAATAGCTACTCTCCAACTTGCTTCTACTCCAGACAGTATATCCATTACAACTTTACAAGGGTAACGGCATCTAAAAATTCTACATGTATGAGATCTTGGGAGGGGTAGATTGGATATGGTCCTAACATTTGGCATTTTCTTTTGCACAAAGTGAGTGACACTTTCAGACTCGTACCTGCATTCTCACACTTCTCAGCTCGAGATTTTATCATTACACCAAGCAATGGCACCTTAATGATTCTAAAGAAACTCTGAAGTCTACAAACAGAAGTAAAATCAGATTAAATAATGAAAACTATTAATTACCAATTAAAAACCAAAGAAGGTTAATATGTGAAGAAAATTCATATAGTTTGCCCATGCTACAAAGGACACCTTATAACAATAGACTTATGAAAACAAAATACCACTTGTGCCTCTATATCAAGCTTGAATTTAGACTAAAGAACACAAAACTACCAATACAGATTTGTTACCTTTGGAGAATTAATATGTTGATCTCCCATCACCTTCAGTGATCACATCCTTGAAGGCCCCACCACTTGGAATCATGGGAAGCACATGTTCTTGATGTGGTACAATGACATCCAACAAATATGGACCAGGGGTCTCTAACATCTTCTTCATAGCTTCCCTTAACTCACTCTTTTTTGTCACACGGGCAGCTGGAATATCACAAGCTTCTGCAAACTTTAACATGTTTGGGAAAATCTCAGACTCGTTTCTTGGATTGCCAAGGTATGTATGGGCTCGGTTTGCCTTATAGAATCGATCCTCCCATTGAACAACCATACCCAAATGTTGGTTATTCAAAAGCAAGATCTTGATGGGGAGATTTTCCACCCTTACAGTTGCCAATTCCTGGACATTCATGATAAAACTTCCATCACCATCAATATCTACAACAAGGGTATCAGGTCTGGCAACAGAAGCCCCAATCGCAGCTGGCAATCCAAAACCCATGGCACCTAACCCGCCTGATGTCAACCATTGGCGTGGCCTCTTATACTTATACCATTGGGCTGCCCACATCTGATGCTGCCCAACCCCAGTGCTTATAATTGCATTTCCATCCGTCAGTTCATCTAAAACCTGAATTGCATACTGGGGAGGAATAGCTTCCGCAAAAGTTTTAAAACTCAATGGAAATTTCAACTTCTGCTCATGAAGCTCCTTCCTCCAAGCTGAGAAATCAAACTTGAGCTTAGGTTGCTTATCCTCTATCAACCTGTTTATCGCTTCTAATGCCAACTTTACATCAGTGCAAATCGAGAGGTGTGGCTGCTTGTTCTTTCCAATCTCAGCTGGGTCAATATCAATGTGAACAATCTTAGCCCGGCTAGCAAAAGCCTCAACCTTTCCCGTCACACGGTCATCAAACCTGACTCCAAACGCAAGCAATAAATCAGATTTGTCTACAGCATAATTGGCATAAACAGTACCATGCATTCCAAGCATATGAAGAGATAGATCGTCTGATCCGGGGTAAGCTCCAAGACCCATTAAAGTACTCGCCACTGGAATGCCTGTGAGCTCAACGAAACGTCTAAGCTCTTCACTTGAGTTCAAACATCCACCACCAACATACAAGACAGGCTTTTTGGACTCAGATATAAACCGAAGAATCTGCTCTAAATGGGCCTCCTCTGGTGATTTTGGCAACCTGGATAGATAACCGGGTAGTTTCATCTGAGTATTCCAGTTGGGAACAACCAGCTGCTGTTGAATATCCTTCGGGATGTCGATCAATACCGGACCCGGACGACCTGAAGATGCTAGGTAAAAGGCCTCATGCACAATACGGGGAATGTCTTCAACGTCAAGCACAAGGTAGTTGTGTTTGGTGATGGATCGAGTAACCTCGACGATCGGGGTTTCTTGGAAAGCATCAGTGCCTATCATCCTGCGAGGAACCTGCCCGGTGATGGCAACCAGAGGCACGCTATCAAGCATGGCGTCAGCAAGGCCACTGACGAGATTGGTGGCACCGGGACCCGAGGTGGCAACGCAGACGCCCGGAAGGCCCGACGCACGAGCGTAACCCTCTGCAGCAAAGATGCCACCTTGTTCGTGTCTGGGGAGAACATTGCGGATTATGGAGGAGCGGGTGAGGGCTTGGTGTATTTCCAAGGACGCTCCACCTGGGTAGGCAAAGACAGTGGTTACACCTTCCCGTTCGAGAGCTTCGACGAGCACATCGGCACCTTTTCTGGGTTCATCGGCAGCGAATCGAGGAACGAAAGTTGATGGAGAGGAGGGGGAGGTGGTGATGGTAGCGGTGGTGAAGGCAGTGGCAGTGGCGGGGGCAGCGGCGGGGGAGTGTTTTGACTTCCCGTCGGAGAGGCTGTTTGCGATGTAGAGAGGACAGAAGGAACTGGGTTTCTGGTGGTTTGTCGAGAGGGGGAGCGAGATCTGGTAATGGGGTTTCAGCGAATTGAAAGAAGGGAAGTGGGAGGGCTTTGAGAGGGAGAGCTGTGCAGAGGTAGACGCCATTGATGACATCGAAAGGGATTCGGAGGAAGAAAGACTTATGCAGGGCAGATGTATATATCTAGATACGTACAAGAAGAGCCCGTCAGTGACGCCACCGCTGGAGCTGGAGCTGGACCATTTGAACGATCAGGATCTAGGGCTCAACCGCTCAACGACAAAGGATTTTCATGGCAAATTCCTATGGCTATTTGTCTAATAAAATATACATTATTTATATTTTTATTGAAAAAAATGAGAGCCACTGCACTCCGGAACCATTTTATTAATTTAATCCACCTATTTTACGACACGTCAATTGGTTTACAATTTACCGGTTTCCTCTCGCCACCGAGATCGGCTTCGGCCCCTCCCAACCTCGCATTAGGAATAATAATAAAAAGCACATAAATACGAAATATTCCCAATGCAAGGCTGTAAAGGGTTTTCGAACGGGCCTTGTAGTGACCGAAGCTGACTCTCGTGAATTCCGATTACCTAAGCCATGGAACATTCAAGAAGTCCCATTAAAAGGTCAAGTGGTCACATAAAAATATGATTGTTTAAAATGCCGATAATCATATTATAAAAGTTATTTAATTGGAGTTTATATAATAACAATAATTTTTTTTATTTTTTATTAAAATTCATATAAAGTTAATGACATTAATAAAATTTTAAAATTAATTAATTAAAATGAAATATATATATACATATATTAAAATAAGGAAGTGTAGAAATTTTTTCTTTTTTTTTGAATTTTTTATTTTTTTAATCTATGTTATTTTTGAAAGTACCAAGTAGAAATTCTATTTTCCTCAAAAAAATCTTTCTAAAATCTCTCTCTCTCCTATCTTCCTGCCATACTGTCATTGCAACTTGCAGCAGTGACGGTTGAGTATTAATAATAATTATTATTATTAATTATAAATTATTTTTATTAATTATCTTAATATTTTTATTAGTGGTTAATTATTTTTAGTAATTATTATCAATTATTATTTATTTTATTATTTTTATTCGTGTTATTTCAATATTATTAATTATTTATTAACTATTAATTTCTATTGATTATTTTAGTTTTTATTAAATTTTAATCATTTTAATATTTTTATTAGTGATTAATTAATTTTATTAATTTTTATTGTGTTATTTATAATTATTAATTATTTTTAGTAATTATTATCAATTATTATTTATTTTATTATTTTTATTCATGTTATTTAAATATTATTAATAATTAAATAATGAATTATTAATTTTATTATTTTTTATTGATTATTATAATTTTTATTAAACTTTAATCATTTTAATATTTTTTTATTGRTGATTAATTATTTTTATTAATTTCCTGTATAATTTCGATATTATTTTGAATTTGATAAGTCATTTTATATGAAATAGTGATATTTGCATTCACAATTACAAAATAGTTTGTTCCAGAAGTAAAATAATAAAACAAAACAATTTCAAATGTTGTAGAATTGATCCAACACAAACAACATTATCTATTCAGATATTCTAAAAAGTAGAAAAGCATCTATGCCTCTTTTCAGATTTCAAACACTTTTAATATCTTTTTAACTTTTTCAGACTTCAGATTTGAGATTTATCAAAACGCCACCTAAGTTCCCACCTAAGTTCCCATTTGGGAGGGCATTCCTACAATGGTTTCTAGCATAGTGGCATTGCAAGGTATAGTTCAGATATAGTCCTACAGCCACTGCAACCATGCATTCGGAACATCTCTCGTTCTTCATGTGGTAAGATGTTCCCCATGTATGTTGTTTGCAATGGCTATTGTGACAAGTTGTTGGGACCAAATCGGGATTATACAAGGTAGGCCCCACATGAAAAGCCAAGAATGTGTTTGGTTGTAATTCAAATTTATTTGCACTGATGCAAAACCATGGTAGTACAAATGATCTCAGTGCAAATTATGATTTATTTTTGTTTCAAAATTTATCACATTTTTGTTTGATTGTAGTACAAATGAAGTAAAATAAGACCTAAATCAAAATAAAGTAAATTCCAAAACAAAATTAAACCAGAATTTGCATTCCCATGCATTTGTATTAGTACAAATAAAATTGTATTGTAACCAAACACAGCCTAAAAGTCAAAAAACATTATAATTGAGCCAAGAAATCCACTTTTAAGTGAAGCTAGTTTGGGTAGCTCTCTAAAGCCGCTTAGTCAACACAACTCAATCAGCATAGTAGCCCTCTGAAACGAGACGAGATCTGCTCCTCACAAATGGGCGCCTCACATGCACATCTACCGTGCATTGAGAACATCTCCCATGAATAATTCTCCCAATGCATGGTAGGATGTGCATGTGAGGCGCCAGGTCCAGCTGTGAAGAGCAGATCCAGTCTCCTCCGAAACAAGCTCTAAGCTGGTTTAATGAGTTCAGATCTGATGTGAACTCTTGTTTAATTAGTTGCTTTGAAGGGCTCCAAGTAAGCTATTGAAAGAGGCTGAAGTGGACACAAACATTCAGAAGCTATTTTTCTTCAGCCCTCCCAAATTGACATTTAGTCATTTTTAGGGTTGTTTGCTTCAGCCTCTTTTAGGGTCCATTTGGGAGGGTTGAGTTGAAAATTCATCTAAGCTAGTTTGTTGCTTTGAGGCAGGTGTGCAATCTAACTAATCACTAACCGGTTAGTTTGGGCTAGAGTTTATTAGACTTTAATAAAGTTGTAATCTAATCATGTTCGTTAAGTTTTAATTAGTTATTTGAACTTGAGCTTGGCCAATAAGAAGTTCAACTCAAATGCTCGTGAGCCTAGAATGATTAATACATACATACATATGCATGTATACATGCATATAGAGGTGTCAATTGGACTGGATTTAGTCCAATCTGATCTAATCCCATGTGAGTCCACTTACAAATGGACTGGACCCAATCCAATCCATTAAAATGTAAAGGGAATGATTGGATCCAATCCAAACCGAATGAAATATAAAATAACAAAACATGTAAAAAATTACAAAAATATATTAAAATGAAGAAAATCTGAAAATTGCAAAAATATACTCTTTTAGCATTGAAAAAGCATTTATGTAAAACTGTTTTCATAAAAGTTCATGTATAAAAACACTTTTATGAAAGTACTTTCGTAAAAGCACTTTTATAAAAGTAATTTTGTATAAGTACTTTTATAAAAGTACTTTCATAAAAGTGTTTTCGTAAAAGTGCTTTTATAAAAATGCTTTCATAAAAGTATTTTTCTAAAAGTACTTTTGTAGAAGTGCTTTTATAAAATTACTTTCATACAGTGCTTTTGTAAAAGTGMTTTCATAAAAGTGTTTTTGCAAAAATGCTTTTATAAAAGTACTTCACAAAAGTGCTTTTATAAAAGTGCTTTTATAAAAGTATTTCCATAAAAGTGCTTTCATAAAAGTACTTTTACAAAAGCACTTCTGTAAAAGTGTTTTTGTAAAAGTACTTGTGCTTTTATAGAAGTGTTTTCGTGTAAAAGTACTTTTATAGAAGTGCTTTCCTAAAAGTGCTTACATAAAAGTAATTTTATGCTGGCTTCAATTTTGATCGGTTTCAAATTAAACAAGGGTTTGGCCTCATGATTGGATTATTGGAAATTTGATTTAGATCCAATTCAGACCAATAAGAATATGGACCAATTTATTTTGGATTGGCCCAACTCAATAATTATAATGTACCGTCCAAATCCGATTTGATAAGATTTGAATCAGATTGGATCCAATCCAGAACCGGTCAATTGACACCCCTACATACATACATATATTATATATAAAAAGATATTTTTATATTCTACACATAATATAAAAATATAAGAATGTGCTATATATTATATTATTTATATTTATAGAATATAAAAATATATGCATTTTTTAGCTTTCAAGTTGAATTTGAGCTTATTGAATATTTAATGCAATAGAGCTCAAACCAGGAAATAGAGTTCGAGTCAAACTCAAACTTGAAGTCAAAACTACTAGTATTTTAATCGAACCGAGACAAGACAAGCAGAAGTTCAGCTTGGCTCAGTCCTACCGCACCCCTCTACTTTGAGGTGCTTTGATTAAGCTATTCAGAGAGGTGAAGCTGACATCGAATGAACAGTTGATTTGAGCTTTTTGAAATTTCATCAAACATAAGCTCGTAGATTGTCCATGTGGGGCCTAGCTTGGAAAGCGAGAAGCCACTTCACTTCGGCCCTCCCAAATGGGCACTACTGCCTGTTTGAGAGGGCTTCAATTTCTTAGCTGGAATAATGTGTACTTGGGCTTTCCGGGTTCTTCACTAAATAAACCTTTTAAGCTTTTCATGTGGGGTTTACCTTACAAAGCTATGAGGCCCTGCATRACCTCCCAAAGGGGTGCTAAATTGCTATCCAGAGCACTTCAAAATAGCTGAACCGGTTTTGTTGAATCTTCAACTCAGCCGTTCCAAATGGGCATTTAAACACTTTTTTAGTTATTCAGTTTGGAAAGAGTACAAATGCAAATATATACAGTACAAATACATACAAAATATAAGATTTTGCACTCTACATATTTGTAATTTATACCCTTTCCAAACTGAGCCTAAAAACTTGTCAAGTGCAAATGGGAATACAAGAAAGTAATAACCAAAGAAAAACAAATGACTTCATATATTCCAAGAAAAAATAAATGACTTCATACATGTAAACATGAGACTTTTAGTTTTAGACAAGGTTCAAAGTATCACTATCCATATCGGAAAGGCAAATTTAAGAGACGTATCGGGATCAAGGATTAAAGTATTAGTATCGGACAATTTGGATACAGATATGGATATGCTTGGGAAACACATGGATACGAACAAAAAAATATAGAAACACTTGGATACGCTAAGAAAATGCACATAAATTCTATAAATATATTAATAGCATTAAGTTTAATGTTAAAACAACTATAAAGTAGCAGGGACCCGTGCGGTGCACGGGAAAATGAAATGCAATTTTTGACAAATTATTGTAATTTATTTAGGTTCATACTATTTGATAATTTGAATTAATTATTACCCTAAGTTCTACTAATTTATGGAATTTAATGGTTATTTTTACAAAGTTATACTAATTTCATCTATTTTATCATATTTTATGAAAATTAGTGGTCATTTTCCCCTAAGTTCTACT